ATTTTTTTTTTTTTTTGTACCACAATTGTTACAATTTCATACCTTCCAATCAATAAACATAGACATAAATATTGTTAGGCGGGCCGATTCCCCTCTGATAGAAAGCAAAGCACCCCTGGGAAAAAAGGAATCCCAGTGGCCACTCGGGGCAGTTTGCTAGCCATCAGAGCACTCAGCTTTAAACAAATTAAAGGTTTCTCTCCCAATTTTCCTTTGTCAGGGAGACAACCACACTCCTTCAGGTACAAGGGCTGATCCACAATGATGTCTATCCAGGTGTCTATGTAAGGGATCTGGTCAGGGTGCCCGGGGTTTCCATAGCACACTGTCCGGACCCTCGCTGCAATTGACATTTCAAATGTCCCTACATCTGGCCATCCAACACCAAAAGTGGGCCACTCGCTAACTCACAAAATTTTCTAAGATCATAAACATTCACTGTGACCCCGTAGCTTCCAGCTCTTTTCTTAAAGTCAACAAAATTCTTCATCAAACACTCAGGAGGGCTCAAGGGGCCCTTTGAATTGTCCTGTCCCATCTTGGCCATGAGGGAGAGGACAATTAGGATTCCAGTGACCAGAGACCCAATGAAGGTCAGCGTTCCCATGCAAGCGCGGTCGCGGGCGCAAAGGCAATCTTCACTGCCTTTCGGGGTCCCAGCAGGGGAAGGACAGGCGTCCCCCAGGGACCAACCGAGAGTCGCGGCGCAATTCACACACAACAGCAATAATAACAAACAACATTCCTAGAAGTACCAACAACCAAACATACCACAACATTCTCTCAGTTTCACCCACTCAAACAACAAAAAACCAGGACCGCAGATGGGGCGTCCCCACTCCCGCCGGATCTGAGAACTTCTGGCAGCGTCCCGCCGTTCTCTGATCCCAAGCGCTCGCGAGCAACCAAGTACAAGAAACAAATGAGGCCTCTACTTACCGGCGCCGTTCAAGTAGTCCGGACGACGAGAATGGGGCGTCTGCCCGTCTGGGGGTCTCTAATCCCAGACGAGCCCCCAAAATGTTAAATGGAGCCCAGACCACCCAAGAGGCAGAGCCCCCCTACCCGGGAAATAACTCCAACTAGCCAATTGCGGAGTCTAATTACAAATTTTATTGCAGATTCGAATCTGGGCTGCCGCCGTGGCAATGGCGTGGCCAGAAGCAGCAGCGGTTACAAAGCGGTCTCTCTCTTTTTAAGCATTCTTCAAACAAGCACATTCCAAACAAGGCAGGGGGGGGGGGGGGGTCTTAACCTTGTGATTGCATGCATCAGCCAGATGGCCTAATCTCCCTTCTTGGTTTGTTCTGCTATCTTATCCTTGACTATCCCAGACTGCTGATTTGGCCTTCAGCCTTGACTAACCCAGACTGTTGATTTGGTCTTCAGGTCCAGGAGGGGGAGGGAGTAGTAACTTTCTACCCTCCAGGCAAGGTCAGTAATTTTTCACTCCTCAGGAAGAACATACCATGTTCATGGATTGGTAGAATCAACATCATCAAAATGTCCATACTTCCTAAAGCAATCTATAGGTTCAATGCACTCCCCTTTAAAATACCAACGGCATATTTCACTGACCTAGAAAGAACTCTCCAAAAGTTCATTTGGAACAATAAAAGACCCCGAATAGCCACAGCAATCCTGAGAAAGAAGGGTAAAGTAGGAAGGATCTCAATACCAGACTTCAAACTGTATTACAAAGCCACTGTTCTCAAAACAGCCTGGTACTGGCACAAGAACAGACATATAGATCAATGGAATAGAATCGAGAACCCAGATATCAACCCAAATCAATATGCTCAATTAATATTTGACAAAGGAGGCATGAATATACAATGGAGTCAAGACAGTTTCTTCAATAAATGGTGTTGGGAAAATTGGGCAGACACATGCAAAAGAATGAAACTAGATCACCAACTTACACCATACACAAAAATAAACTCAAAATGGATACAGGACTTAAACATCAGACGGGAAACCATAAAAATACTAGAAGCATCCACAGGCAGCAAAATCTCAGACGTATGCCAAAAGAACTTCTTCACTGATACTGCCCCTAGGGCAATGGAAGCTAAAGAGAAAATAAACAAATGGGACTACATCAAAATAAAAAGCTTTTTTACAGCAAAAGAAACCATCAACAAAACAACAAGAAAGCCCATGGTGTGGGAGAACATATTTGCAAATGTTATCACTGATAAAGGTTTAATCTCCAACATCTACTGACAGCTGATACAACTAAATAAAAGGAAGATGAATGATCCAATTAAGAAATGGGCAATGGACCTAAATAGAATCTTTTCAAAAGAAGACAGAAGGAAGGCCAAAAGGCACATGAAAACATGCTCAAAGTCACTAATTATCCAAGAGATGCAAATGCGGTACAATCTCACAGCTGTCAGAATGGCCAACATCAACAAATCCACAAACGACAAGTGTTGGTGAGGTTGCAGAGAAAAAGGAACCCTCGTGCACTGCTGGTGGGAATGCAGACTGGTGCAACCACTGTGGAGAACAGTGTGAAGTTTCCTCAAAGAACTGAAAATGGAACTCCCATTTGACCCAGTAATCCCACTCCTAGGAATATATAGCAAGAAACTATTATATTGTAGAAACACCAATCAGAAAGGATATATGCACCCCTATGTTCATAGCAGCACAATCTACAATAGCCAGAATTTGGAAACAGCCTAGGTGCCCCTCAGCAGATGAGTGGATCCAAAAACTATGGTTCATCTACACTAGGGGTGTCGAACTCAATCAGAGAAGGGGCCAAAATCTAAAATCCAGCCTAAATCGCGGGCCAAATGGTTTACTGAACAGTCATAAACTGTCATTGTGATGGAAATGCAGCGGAGTGCAGTGATGACAGCGCGGTGCGGGCCACATTGCAAGGCCTGGCGGGATGGATTTGGCCCTCGGGCCTTGTGTTTGACACATGTGATCTACACAATGGAATACTATGCTGCCATAAAAAAGAAGGAATTCTCATCATTTGCAGCAACCTGGATGGAATTGGAGAACATCATGCTTAGTGAAATAAGCCAATCAATGAAAGAGAAACACCACATGACCCCACTCATTTGTGGATAATAAAGATCATTATAAACTGATGAACCAAAAGATAGATATAGAGACAGTAAAGCTACAAGCAGACTGTCAAATTACAGCGGGGAGGGGAGGAGGATCTGGGGGAGATAATAGATCAACCGAAGGACTTGTATACATGCATATAAGTACAACCAATGGACATAAACTCTGGGGAGGGAGGGGATGTGTGGGAGGGAGGGGGGCAAAAAAAATCAATAATAAAAAAATAAAATAAAAAAAAGAAGAAAAAAAAAAGTAGCTTTCAGAGCATTTTAAATGTTCACTGCCACAATTGTCTTAAAGCCATAGGTCAAACAGTGTTAACCGGTTCGGGTAATATACTGTATTTGTTGAGTCCTTTTGTATGGGGCTGACAGAATATGGGAGTCAGAGCCTTTTCATTAACAAAACACTGATTTTACATTCTGCTTTTCAAGAATATTTCTGGGGCCCTAACCGGTTTGGCTCAGTGGGTAGAGCATCAGGGTCCCGGTTCGATTCTGGTCAAGGGCATGTACCTTGGTTTCAGGTACATCCCCAGTGGGGAGTGTACAGGAAACAGCTGAATTGATGTTTCTCTCTCATTGATATTTCTGACTCTCTATTCCTCTCCTTTCCTCTCTGTAAAAAATTAATAAAATATATTTAATTTCAAAAATTTTTTTACTGGGCCCTGTAGTATTCTACCAGGTCTCAGGGTTGCAGGCTCCATCCCTGATCAGGACACATACAAGAATCAAACATTGGCCAAAACCGGTTTGGCTCAGTGGTAGAGCGTCAGTCTGCGGACTGAAAGGTCCCAGGTTCGATTCCGGTAAGGGGCATGTACTTTGGTTGCAGGCACATCCCCGGTGGGGGGTGTGCAAGAGGCAGCTGATTGATGTTTCTCTCTCATTGATGTTTCTAGCTCTCTCTCTCTCTCACTTCCTCTCTGTAAAAAATCAATAAAATATATATTTTTTAAAAAGAATCAAATATTGAATGCATAAATAAGTGTGACAACAAATCAATGTTTCTTGATAATATTCTAATAACTGTGTGGTGTCATACGGATGCTAAATTTGGTGTCATATGGGTGCTAAATTTATCAAGATGATCACTTAGCCATATAATGTCTAATCACTGGGGTGTACACCTGAAACTAATATAATGTATGTCAACTGTAATTGGAAATAAATTATTTTTATATATATTTTATTGATTTTTTACAGAAAGGGAGAGTTACAAACATCGATCAGCTGCCTCCTGCACGCCCCCTACTGCGGATGTGCCCGCAACCAAGGTACATGCCCTTCACCGGTATCGAACCTGGGACCTTTCAGTCCACAGGCCGACGCTCTATCCACTGAGCCAAACCAGCTTTGGCAAAAAAATTATTTTTAAAAAGCAATATTTTTGAATCCCGCTCTAAAAAAATAAAAAGACTACTACCTTATGGGTACTTAATGTGGGGTGCTGGACCCAAATGAATGAGTTTCAGGATATCTAATAAACGCCTAAAATGTCAAACAAAAGAACTGTGACTTTCAAGATCAGTCAAAATTGTGTATACCAAAATAAGGGTTAACCTGTAGGTCGCTGCTACCAGACAATGGTGCGAATACAATCTGTAGCATTCCATATTATTTAAAACCTCTTTATTTTCCTGCATTATTTGAGAAAAGAAAAAACGAAAGTCGAAATAATAGCGATGGACTATTTGCAGAGGTAGGTGGCTTCTCTCGGTGCATTTACCCTTCTTTCACGTATCAATACGCTTCCACCAGGGGGACGGGAAGGGGTCGGCTATCTCCGGACCACGTGACTCGGGGCAGGAAGTTCCCGGCAGCCCCGCGCGCCCAGTTCCGAATCCTTCCCCTTATTTAGACCTCGTCTACACCCCTGTTTGGGAAAAGACCAGCGGACGCGCATGGGTCACTAAGTTATAGGAAGTGACTGGCTGCGGCTCCTGACCCGGAAGCGGTTCCTAGTCCCTCCCCCTCCGGCCCGGCTTCCTCCTGCAACAGGCGTGGGTCACGCTGCCTCTCGGTCTCTTTCTGCCGCCATCTTGGTTCCGCGTTCCCCGCACAGTAAGTTGTGTCTTCGCCGTCCCTCTATCCGCAGCCATCCGCCTTTCTTGCGGCTTAAGCCACCCCTGGGGGCTGAGACCTAAAGAGAGTCAGAGGCTTTAGGTGGCCGCCCGGTCCCTGCTAGACCCTGGGAACTATGGCCTCGGTGTCTCCGGACAAAATGGGGTCTGCGGTTGGTGTCCTGGCAAAGAGCAGGGCAGAAGGGCCGCAGGCCGGGCTGCTCGTCCGGGGCTGGCGTGGCGGGAGCCTTGGCGGTGGCGGGGGCTGCAGCGAAGTGTGTGTGCTGTTGGGAACGGCCTCAGGAAAGCCCGGAGGAGGTTAAGGGGTCACGGCCTTGGAAGTCCGCCCCCCCACACACATACACTCGTTCGTACCGTGACGAGTGTTTGGGGCTGAAGGCGCCCTCTTTTCCCTCCTGACTCCCCTAAGTCGGCGAACGGGAGTCGCGGGGGTCCAGCCGGTGGCGTGGACGTGGGAGGGAGGTGGTGACAGGAGCGTCTCCCACGGTCGGAGCCAGCCCGGGCTCCTCTCGGGGTGCGGACGCGGTGCTGAGTGCTGCCCGTGGGGGATCGGGGACGTGGACCCAGACGAACCCCCGGGACCGGGGGGGGGGGGGTAGGGGGGAGGTCCGCTCCCTACGGGGTGAAAAGCGTGAAAGAAGGTGCGATTCGCTGGATTAGCGTTGTGACGGTCACGTCACATTCCTCCCCTCTTGCCAGCTCCTTTGGGGAGGGCTTTCCCCAAACACCCTCGTGATTTTTTTTTATTTATTTTTTTTTTTCGCCACAGTTTTCTGCAGTTTTTAATAATATCGGACTCTGGGTTGGGCAGCAAAACGGTCCCAGTCAATTCCGGCCTCCTTTTTTTTTATTTCCTCCAGAAATGCCCGGTGAAGCCACAGAAACCGTCCCTGCTACAGAGCAAGAGTTGCCACAGCCCCAGGCTGAGACAGGTAGGACCCCCCTGGTCCCCGTGCCCATCGTTAAAATTGTGAGATTGACCCTAAAACCGTTCGCTGGGTAAAGTGGCAAAGAGAATACACTTAGGTCTTTCAGAGTTCTCTCTTATCAAAGACGGTCCATAATCTTAAACTGCTGTCCTTGGAAGGGACTTCATGTGGGAGTGGGATAAAGACCGTATATTTAAGCTTCAAGAACATTAAAAGCTCCCTGGCCTGTTTTGTCGGTGGGGCAATGAGAAAAACTGAGCTGGGCAGGAGCTCAGTGATTCTTACCTATTTGAACTGGATGACACACTGGCAGGCCCAGGAGACCTGAGCTTTTTAGCAAGTTCCAGCCAGCAAGCTGCATCAAGGTTTTAGATGGCAGAGCTTGGCGTTGGGCCCTCATCACATGTCTGAGTGAGATGGGTGCTGTGGTGAATGTGTCCTGGGACCAAGGACCCTCGTGAGTCGTTTTACTTGTTTTATGGATTGGTGATGAGATGTTCAACAGCTTGTCTGGAACCCAGAACTGAAATAAAGCTTTCCTTTGACTATTACTCAGGTTTGAAATTAATGAGTGTACAACATAGTATAAAGGCAAGTTTTGAATTCTGGTTAAATTGTATCTCTCTAATACTTGTGAAAGGGAGTGGTGAAAATACTTTTTTAATGAAGATCTTGCTGAGTTATGCAAAATGAAGGGAATCTTCAGGGTGTAATTTTTTTCTTATAGTAAATTGATTTTTTTAACTGCACCTGTCACTTAACAATTCCTGTCTTGTGGAATTAAAATAGAGTTGTTTATAGTTGAAAGTGTTAAAGTTCTCCCTCTCCACCTGTCTGATTTCAGCAGCTGAAGAGATTAATACAGCTGCTGGTAAAGAAAGGGAGGGCGTCCCTGAGTTTGGGAATGAGCTATGTGAAATCTTTGAACTATAAGGGACTAAAGGACTGCTCTCTAAAGATACTATAATTTGGTGCTAAATAAAAAATGTAGTGTCTCTATAAACAACTTGATTTTATAAATGTGGAGAGTGAAATTCAGAATAATTTGGTTTCAAGCTTCAAAAGGAATGCCATTAAATAATTAAGAGTGCCTGAGAAAACTATTTCAGGAAATAGGTTATGGTGTCTAAACCAAGTAATTTGGTCCTTATCCCATCAGAGGAAAACATTCTAAGATTCAAATTCTGATTATGTTTGAAAGCACTGCATTTTAATCATAAGGCTTTTTTACCTACCAACCCTTCAGGAAAAACTGGTTGAGCTGCCTGTCTTTTCTGTGCTACAATACTTTAAGAAAATTGTGAATTTGCATGCTTCAGGCTTTTTTGTTTTATTTTAAATACTCCCTTCAAAATGTTGAGCTTTTGTTCTATACCTGTATTATCTCCTGAATAGTAAGCATGGATTTTTCTGTCATTCAGAATATCTTGCTTAGCATTACTCTAGTGCCAGATACTGGTCTATTTTGACAGAATGACATACTTTTCCACATTAAGAGGTGGTGATCATCCAATGTACTCTCTCCAATGCAGTTCCCTACTTCCAAAATAGAACCACAGTCTGGCTTAACAAGTTAGGTTACAGTATTAAAATGCAGTCCCTACCCTTGTGACTAAGCTCTCCCTGGCAGTCTTAATTCATCTGAGATTGATGTTGGGAGGTAACATTACCTGGGAAGGTCTGGAGACTATGGAGTACAACTCACTCGTTCTTTTTGTTTTGTGTAAACAAGCTGAAGCACAGGGAGGCTGAGTGACTAATTTATTAGTTTAGTATTAAATTCTGAAGCATTTCAACTTTATGAGAATTGAATTCTGCCAGACACCCGCTTCTTTAAGCTTTATTCAGAGTCTATTTTTCCTGACCTAGTGGAAACCTGAGCATATAAAGACCTGTTTTTTTCTCCTTTAGCTCTGATTCCTCGTCATCACCAGCACTCACCACCTTCCTTATTCTGGTTGTCAGTATCTGTTTTAGTTAGTGGTCCCTGGTGGACAGGGTGGAACAGCTGTATTTGTGCCTGTGAGAAAGATTTGGAGTTCATTTGAGGAAGGAAGGGAGGGGTGTGTTCTTATTTGACACCTGAAGTATGTTTCTGAAGGGTTGCTATTGCCTGTCACCTTTGTCTAATCCTGTGTGGTGACTTTCCTCAGATTAAAAATTCTGGTGTTTCTTATGAAACATGTTGTACCAAGTTGGGCTGCATAACTCACCTTTATTTTTTTCCTTCTCTTGCCTTTATTCCCTTTTTTGCTTTTCTCCTCCAGCTGTGCTTCCTGTGTCTTCAGCCTTGAATGTCACTGCTGCCCTAGGGCAGCCTGTGCCAACCCTTCCCACTTCTTGCTCCCTGCCCCCACAACAGAACCCTCTGGCAACACCTAACCAGCCTGCCCCATTCCTTCCTCCCTCTACTATTGCTTCTACCCCTTTTGAAGCTCCTTTCCCACAGGCATCCTCTGGGACAGCCCTGCCCTTGGCAACTACTCCTATGCTCCCTGACACCCCAACTTTCCTACCAAACCTAATAGGGCCTCCCATCTCCCCTGCTGCCTTAGCTCTGGCCTCTCCCATGATAAATCCAACTCTGAAAGGTGCCCATCCCTCTTCAGCTCCCTTAACTCTGGTGGCCTTGCCTCCCCGCTCAGTTCAGAAGAGTTCTGCTGATCCACCTAACCCTATTAGTCCGCCTCCTTCAGCTGCTGTGGCTAAGTCAGGGTCAGTGACACCTTTGTCAGCTCCCGTTACTTCCTCAGAACCAAAGACCTCTCCTATTCAAGCTCCCTCCCAAGTAGTCCCTAACCCAAAAGTTACCTCCATTCCTCCATATACGGCCAGTGCTGTTCCTTCCCAGCTTATAACTCCCTTGGCCTCTTCAGTTCAATCTGGAGTAGCCTCATGTGCTCAGACACCACTCACTACTCCCCTAACCATCACTTCCCCTCAGGTCAAAGGCATACCTATTTCCTCAGCTCTGACTTCACAAAGCTCTGTAAGCCTCAGCCTAAAGGGACCCCTTGGTCCACCTGCTGCCCAGTCTGTTCCTGTGCCTCCCAATGACCCCCCAGGTTTCCTCACTTCTATGGGCTCTCACCTTGTACCTTTACATCAGAGTTGTCTTGGTTCTTCTGTCCCATCTGTAGGTCAGACAGGCCCTAATGTTCTGTCAGAGTCTATAGTGGATACTGCTTCTGTAAGCCATTCTTCGATAGGGGCCTCTTCTCCTACTGGGCAATCTGTAATTTCTCCCCTTCCTTCCAGAAAGGAGGTGGTTCCTGCTGCTGTGGGGGCTCCCGCTTCCTCTCTGGCTCTATCTGTTGACAAGGGACTCTCTACCATCACTAGTGTCTCCTCCTACAGCTCTTCTGGTTCCTCAAGTGCAGCTGTCTCTTCTCCCTTAGCTCCTGCAGCTTCCCTCATTCTCAAAGGCTCTCCTAATGCCACGCAGCAGCAGCCCTTAGTGGCCCAGATGCCTCCTGCTTCTCCAGGAAGTCCAGGCTTAAAAAAAGCTCCTGTTTCTTCTGTTGGAACTACCTCTCTGGTGATGACTAACCCCTCCACAATTTCTGCCACACCTACCACCTTTGAGGTTGTAAGTGCTACTTGTTCGTCTCCTCCAATTTCATCAGGTCTCCTAAGTAATAAAAACTCCGCTTCCCATACTGCCTTGGCTGTGGCACCTGTTTCTTCCAAAGAGCTTCCTTCTCCTTGGGTAACAGCTGCTCTGGAGACACCAGGCTCCCGTCCTCTGCCAGCACCTGAGGAACTCAAAAGTCTCCCTGCTTCACAGTTGGTCAAGTTCCCAACACAGAAAGATCACCAAACTGTACCTGCTTCTCCTGTAGGAACCCCTATTTCACCATCCCTGGCAGGACTTCCTACCAAGACAGACCCTATTGTACTGCCATTGATGCTGGCAGCCCCTCAAAATCCTCCCTCCCCCCAAAGTACATCATCCTCTCTGGAAGGATCTCTTTGTCCTGAAGTCACCTTAGCTAACGAAAGCCGAGTAGAGCCTCTGCCTGTAAGTGAGCCAGCTGCTACTCCCTCTCCTCTGGGTGCGGTTTCCCCAGCCTCTCTCCTCAAGACAGATCCTTATGCAAGGCCAGACCCCTCCAGTCTGCTTCTCAAAGGTTCTCTTACTGCTCCGAGTGCAGCTACATTTCCTTTGGAAAGTGCTGCCGCTTCTGGGGGGACTCCTACAGCTACCAAAGGAACCTCCGCTCCTGCAAGTACAGCCAGCCCTTTTCTGGAAGGAACTGTCTCTTTAGCACCTAAAAGCCACCCCGCCAAGAAGGGTACTTCTGCTCTTACTACTTTTCCTTTGGTTCCTCCCACCTCTGAAAGCTGTTCTGTGACTCCAGCCATGACGTTATGCCCTCAGAATGTTTCTGTTTCTCTAGCTACTATGGCACTATCTTCTGAAATTCCCAAGTCTGAACCCTTTCCCTCTCTTCCCCCAGCTCAAGTTACAGAGATAGGTCCTAGTATTTCTCATTCTTCAGCTTTGGCACTTGTGGCCTCCTCTCCTGAAGGATGCCCAAATGAGGGTGTTGGTTCTGCTGCTGCATCTTCCAGAGGAACTTCCCTAGCTGAATCCCCATCTTCTTTAGGGACTAGTGTGTCTCCTCAGACTGGAAGACCTCCAACCAAGAAGGCTTCTGCTACTTCTACTACCTTAACTCTTGCTCCCGTTTCTAAAAGTGTACCTGCCATCTCTGATACTCCTGCTGGAAATCTCTCATCTCCTGTTTCTCTAACTGAAGCTCCCTTTCTTCCAGAGGCCAGTTTTTCTTTTCAAGTCCCTGAGGGATCACTAACCAAGAAGCATTCCCCCACCCCTCCATTCCCCAAAGAGGCCCCTACTTCCCCAGCTACTGTCCCTCCACCCCCCAAAGGGGGGCCAGCAAAACCATCCCCTAAAGAGACGCCGCCTCCTCCAGCTATGACTCCTTCCTCTCCCAAAGGAGCCTCAGCTACCCCACCTCCCAAAGAGGCCCCCTCTCCCCCCGTTATGACCCTTCCTTCCCCTAAAGGAGCTTCAGCAGCTTCGTCCCCCAGAGAGTCCCCAGCTGCCCCACTCACCAAAGGGACCTCAGCAACTCCATCTCCCACGGGACCTCCAGCTACACCCCCGCCCAAAGAGTCTCCAACAACCCCAGCTCCCAGGGGGGCCCCAGGAACCCCACCCTCCAAAGGGGCTCCTCCTCCCTCAGCTGTGGGGCCCGCAGGGACCCCAGCAGCTCCATCTCCCAAAAGAACCCCAACCTCCAAAGGAGCCCCAACAACTCCATCCTCCGAAGAGCCCTCAGATACCCCAGCCCCCAAAGGCCCAGCAGCTCCATCTCCCAAAAAACTCTCAGATACCCCTGCAACTCCAGCCCCCAAAGGGGCCCCAACAACTTCATCTCCCAAAAGAACCTCAACCTCCAAAGGAGTCCCAACAACTCCATCCTCCGAAGAGCCCTCAGATACCCCAGCCCCCAAAGGCGCAGCAGCTCCATCTCCCAAAGAGCCCTCATCTGCTACTACCCCAGCCCCCAAAAAACTCTCAGATACCCCCACAACCCCAGCCCCCAAAGGGGCCCCAGCAGCTCCATCACCCAAAAAACTCTCAGATATCCCCACAACTCCAGCCCCCAAAGGGGCCCCAGCAGCTCCATCACCCAAAAAACTCTCAGATACCCCCACAACTCCAGCCCCCAAAGGGGCCCCAGCAGCTCCATCACCCAAAAAACTCTCAGATATCCCCACAACTCCAGCCCCCAAAGGGGCCCCAGCAACTCTATCACCCAAAGAGCCCAAAGGGACCCCAGCAACTCCATCTCTTAAAGAACTCTCAGATATCCCAGCAACTTCAGCCTCCAAAGGGGCCCCGACAGCTCCATCACCCAAAGGGGCCCCGGCAGCTCCATCACCCAAAGAGCCCAAAGGGGCCCCGGCAGCTCCATCACCCAAAGAGCCCAAAGGGGCCCCGGCAGCTCCATCACCCAAAGAGCCCAAAGGGGCCCCGGCAGCTCCATCACCCAAAGAGCCCAAAGGGGCCCCGGCAGCTCCATCGCCCAAAAAACTCTCAGATACCCCCACAACTCCAGCTCTTAAAGGGGCCCCAGCAGCTCCATCACCCAAAGGAGCCCCAGCAGCTCTATCCTCTGAAAAGCCCTCAGATACCCTAGCCCCCAAAGGGGCCCCAGCAGCTCCATCACCCAAAAAACCCTCAGATACCCCAGCAACTTCATCTCCCAAAGAGCCCTCATCGGCCGCTACCCCAGCTCCCAAAGGTGCCCCAGCAACTTCAGCCCCCAAAGGGGCCCCAGCATCTCAAGCCCCCAAAGAGCCCTCAGATACCCCAGCCCCCAAAAGAACCCCAGCTCCCAAAGGGGCCCCAGGATCTCCAGCCCCCAAAGAGCCCTCAGATACCCCAGCCCCCAAAAGAACCCCAGCTCCCAAAGGGGCCCCAGCATCTCCAGCCCCCAAAGAGCCCTCAGATACTCCAGCCCCCAAAGGGGCCTCAACAACTCCAGCCCCCAAAGGGGCCTCAACAACTTCAGCCCCCAAAGGGGCCCCAGCATCTCCAGCCCCCAAAGGGGCTCCAGCAGTTCCATCTCCCAAAGAACTCTCCAATACCCCAACAACTCCAGCCCCCAAAGGGGCCCCAGCTCCCAAAAGGGCCCCAGCAGCTTCATCTCCCAAAGAGCTCCCAGATACCCCGGCAACTCCAGCCCCCAAAGAACCCTCAGCTTCTGCTGTCCCGGCCCCCAAAGGGGTCCCAACAACACCAACCCCCAAAGAGCCCTCAACTACCCCAGCTCCTAAAGGGGCCCCAGCAACTCCACCTCCTAAAAGAACCCCAGCTAAAACTCCATCCCCCAAAGAGGTCTCAGTTACACCAGCCCCCAAAGCGGCTCCTACTCCTTCAGCCCCCAAAGGGGCCCCAACTACTTCATCCCCAAAGAAAACCCCAGCCTCCAAAGGGGCCTCAGCAACTCCATCCCCCAAAGAGCCCTCAGCTATGCCAGCGCCCAAAGCGGCTCCTACTCCTTCAGTTGTGACTCCTCCGGCGCCCAAAGACCCCTCAGCAACCCCAGCCCCCAAAGGGACCCCAACAACTTCATCCCCAAAGAAAACCCCAGCTCCCAAAGAACCCTCAGCAACCCCAGCTCCCAAAGAACCCTCAGCAACCCCAGCCCCCAAAGGGACCCCAACAACTTCATCCCCAAAGAAAACCCCAGCCCCCAAAGGGGCCTCAGATATGCCAGCTCCCAAAGAACCCTCAGCAACCCCAGCCCCCAAAGGGACCCCAACAACTTCATCCCCAAAGAAAACCCCAGCCCCCAAAGGGGCCTCAGATATGCCAGCTCCCAAAGAACCCTCAGCAACCCCAGCCCCCAAAGGGACCCCAACAACTTCATCCCCAAAGAAAACCCCAGCCCCCAAAGAACCCTCAGCAACTCCATCCCCCAAAGAACCCTCAGCTATGCCAGCGCCCAAAGGGGCTCCTACTCCTTCAGCTGTGACTCCTCCAGCCCACAAAGGGGCCCCAACAACTTCATCCCCAAAGAAAACTCCATCCAAAGAGCCCTCAGCTACCCTAGCCCCTATAGGTGGCCCAGCAATCCCGTCGTCCAAAGAGTCCCCTGCTTTAGTTCCGGCTACGTGTCGCTTGGTATCCACTGCCCCTCCGGCATCTAAAGGGCTCCCAATAAAAGAAGGCGCCACAGCTCTCAAAGCAGCACTTGCTGCCCCAGCTTCAGAAAATGCACCGGTCACCATAGCTCCCACTCAGAAAGGGCCACCAGCCAAGAAGAGTTCTCCCGTGTGCCCAGACCCCTCAGCTAAGAATGGTACTAAAGGACCCCTTCCTACAGTGGCTCCTCCAGCCCCTCTGCTGACAGCCTCCACTCAGAAAGGCACTTCTGCAAAGACTCCAGAAGTCCTCCCAGTTTCTCCCTTGAAGGGCAAAGATCCTCATTCTCCAAAGGGTCCCTTGGCTCCTCATCCAAAGTCTGAGACATCTGCACCTCTAGCAACAGCGGCTTCTGAGAAGGCCCTTCCTAAAGCTGGAGCAGCATCTGCCTCTCCAGCACCCACCCCACCAGTCTCTCTGCCTCTTGCTCCCTCCCCAGTTCCCCCTCTGCTTCCTAAACAGCAACCTCTGCCGTCCTCACCTGGGCTGGTGCTGGAATCATCCTGTAAGCCCTCAGCCCCCACTGATGAGGATGAGCTGCCGCCTCTGATTCCCCCGGAACCAATCTCCGGGGGAGTGCCTTTCCAGTCGGTCCTCGTCAACATGCCCACCCCCAAACCTGCTGGGATCCCTGCCCCAACCCCCTCTGCCAAGCAACCTGTTCTGAAGAACAACAAGGGTATTTGCCTTGGTTTGCCGTGTGCATGGTGTGTCGCCCACACTCCTCCTGGGGGCTACCCACCATTACTAACCTAGGATGTGCCACTTTGTCCAGAATATCTGCTTGTGTTTGAACATAGAATTAGAATGATCATTTTAAGTGCAAAAGCTGTAGGAATGTGGAACAATCTTGGTTTTCATCATTTCACATAATCCATTGTGTATCATCTTGTATTATGGGGATCCAGACTAACCCTGAGTATCCATCATCTTATCTAACTGATGTGATGTTGAAAACCAAAGACCTACTAGACCTTAGTTTGCTCTAATTTCTACCACATCACTAACCTTTTCCCTGGGCCTGGGATTTGCTAAAATATTGGGAAGCTATTGAATATTGGAACTGTTTGAATTTCTGTTCACTTCTTAGAATTAGTAAGGACCAGTGCCCAGGGACTTCCTTTGTTTAAAAGACCTGTTTTTCCTAGCCTGAGAATGGTGCAGGTGTATGCTTTTTTCCTTCAGTAGTCTATAGTGCTTGGCCTTTAAAATTGAGAACTTAAAATATATGAATGATGTTTGAAAGAAATGGGAGAGGTCACAGGACAATAACTAGTAAAGTTGACTATTGGAACTGTAGGTTGGCATCATTGAGAATCTTTAATAAGTTATATTTATTAGGTCAAATTGCTGGGTCAGTAGTTAGAAAATAAGGCTAAATGTGTGTACATAACTGCTTCTGGCCTCCCCAAACCTAGTTTAAAGGATGAGGGGAAAGTTCCCTTCTTCATCTGCTGCAACAATGTGAGTTTTTCACTTCAGTGTATCTGCAGACACCTTGTCACCAGAACCTCTGGGATGGCTGGGCTATTGGGTAGTGGTTGGAGTTACATAGGTCAGTGGTCGGCAAACTCATTAGTCAGCAGAGCCAAATATCAACAGTACAACAATTGAAATTTCTTTTGAGAGCCAAATGTTTTAAACTTAAACTTCTTCTAATGCCACTTCTTCAAAATAGACTCGCCCAGGCCGTGGTATTTTGTGAAAGAGCCGCATGTGGCTCATGAGCCGCAGTTTGCCGACCACTGACATAGGTCATTGGTGTTTGCCTATGCCAAGAAGTGAAGACCTTGAAGGAAAGGAAGCAGTTATAGCATTTAAACTGTTCAGCTGAATTAGTAATTACCTCTCATTTCTGGGGCTGGGTCTTTAATAGGTGTATACACTCCAATTTGTGGCTAAGTGGGGGGACTATCAAGCTGACTTTATACAAGTCAGTTGATTTACATTTAGCTTTACAAGGTTTGAAATAAGCTAGTGACCTCTAGTCTAAGCAGGCCATGGTGACAAGCCTCCTTTTCATCTCCACTATAAATTAGTAAAAATTATTTTGCCTCCTAGGGTCTGGAACAGAATCTGACAGTGATGAATCAGTACCAGAGCTCGAAGAACAAGATTCCACACAGGCAACCACACAACAAGCCCAGGTGGGTATTCTCTTACTCGTGGGTGTAAGTACTTGGAATAAGGAAGCCCTGCAGAACCAGGGTTGGCAGAGAAGATGACTTGTATCTTTGGAGCTGTACACTTTCATAAAGGGAAAACCGCGGGGGGGGGGGTAGAATCCAAGTCTTATGTTCCAGCTTACCATTTTCTTTTAGCTGGCTGCGGCGGCTGAAATTGATGAAGAACCAGTCAGTAAAGCAAAACAGAGCCGGAGTGAAAAGAAGGCACGGAAGGTAATATTTTAAGTTATAAACAAGGACCAGTGACTTCCTTTTTTTTTTTTTAAGACTATTTATGATGAAGCACCTTTAGAGGGGAGAAATTCTTGGTGGTAGTAGAATCATGTTTAGTTAAAATAACAGAAGCTATTGTGGCAGATGTCCTAGGAATCAATTCTGTATTTGTTTTTCTTTTCCTTTTTTTTAATATGTTTTATTGATTTTTTTACAGAGAGGGATAGTTAGAAACATCAGTGAGAGAGAAATATTGATCAGCTGCCTCCTGCATACCCTCTACTGGGGATGTGCCTACAACCAAGGTACATGCCCTTGACAGGAATCGAACCTGGGACCTTTCAGTTCACAGGCTGACACTCTATCCACTGAGCCAAACTGGTTTCGGCCAATTCTGAATTTTTTTTTTTCTTTTCTTTTTTTTAATATATTTTATTGATTTTTATTTTTATTGTATTTTATTTTTTTTTTAGAGAGAGAGGGGAAGGGAGATGGATAGAAAGTTAGAAACCCAATCGGCTGCCTCCTGCATACCCCCTACTGGGGATGTGCCTGCAACCGAGGTATATGCCCTTGACCGGAATCAAACCCGGGACCTTTCAGTCCACAGGCCGACACTCTATCCACTGAGCCAAACCGGTTTTGGCTAATTCTGTATTCTTATATAAACTTGTCTTAGCCCAGAAAAAGGCTTTCTTTTGGATGTGGTATTATGGTCCTTACTTCCTGAAGCTGCTTCTAAAAAATTGAAAACCTCATGTTCTTTTGTTCCTTAGGCTATGTCCAAACTGGGTCTTCGGCAGGTTACAGGGGTTACTAGGGTCACTATACGGAAATCTAAGAATATCCTCTTTGTCATCACAAAACCAGATGTCTACAAGAGCCCTGCTTCAGATACCTACATAGTTTTTGGGGAAGCCAAGGTAAGGAAAGTTTTTGTGGGAATTGCTCTAGACCAGGGTGCTGAGCCATTGATATTTTGGATCAGTAATTCTTTGTTGTGGAAGGGCTGCCCTGTGCATATAGCTGTTTTATTTAGCAGGATCACATCCAGTTGTGATTTAAAAACAAAAACAAAACAAAAAAACCCTCCAGATATTGGATAGCCCCTTCAGTTGAAAATCACTGCTTTAAACATAAGCTACTTCTACATAAGCTGCTAGAATCTGAGTGAGGGCAAACTATTTAAAGCTATGTAACTATAGTAAGTTAACCTAAAGTGAGTTTAGAGTACAAGTTTGGGAAATTTCTTCCACTTACTACAGACAGATCTATTCACACGAATCTCTTATTTTCTGTTTACAGATTGAGGATTTATCTCAGCAAGCACAGCTAGCAGCTGCTGAGAAATTCAAAGTTCAAGGTGAAGCTGTCTCAAACATTCAAGAAAACACACAGACTCCAACTGTACAAGAGGAGAGTGAAGAGGAAGAGGTATATAAGGAAATCTTTTATACTTTTCTCTCCAGGTAGTATTATGCTTGCATTGGTGGGAGGGTTCTATATTGTTTTAGTCTTTTAAATCCTATTGAGTGAAATAGTTTCTGAGTTAAGAGACTGATGACTCAAACAAACTATATTGAAGTTGTTCTTGTCTTTAGTTTATTACATGTATTTTCCCCTCTCTCTTAGGTTGATGAAACAGGTGTGGAAGTGAAGGACATAGAATTGGTCATGTCACAAGCAAATGTGTCAAGAGCAAAAGCAGTCCGAGCTCTGAAGAACAACAGTAATGATATTGTAAATGCTATTATGGTAAGTGTCCAAGCCTTTATCCTGACTCCCTGGAGTGACCTGACCAATAATGGTGACTTGATTTTATGTTTATTATCAGCCAATTAGGAAACTTCATTCCAAAGCCTGTCTTGAGATGCCTTAAGTTTTAGTGACCTGAATTCTGTCAGTTTGCCTATTATACCTCTGATTATCTCTTTTCTCTTACAGGAATTAACAATGTAACCATCTAAAAAGGAAGATACTTTTTGTGTGTGTTTCAAAAGAGTTACTACAGCTTGGTTTGAAATTTGTACTGTTTCTATCAATAAAGTTATGGCTTCTTGTGGGATGAACTCAGTGGGTGCTTGATATCTCTTCCCCCACCCCCAGAAAGCATGAAGACTCTAGAAATGAGAGCACATTTAGTGCCAAGAGCTGAGCTTCAGCTGAAAAGATTTAGTACCACAGATTACCTCTTAAAAATCTCAGCCTTTTCATTTCTTGTCAGAAGGAAAGTATTGTATGTACCAGGCTATTAAAACCTTTTTTTTTTTTTTTTAAATCTTTATTGTTGAAAGTATTATATATGTCCTCTTCTATCTTCCATTGACCCCCTTATAGCTCACCGCAGGCCTTTGCCACCCTATTGTCTAGGACCTTCTTGTCTTCAGAGACTACAACTTAATTGTTGACTCTTGTTTTCAGCTTCTTTACAAGGTGTTAACCGTTATTGCATGCTGATTCTTCTTCATTTAATAATCGGGCTCTCTAACCTATAGTCTTTCTGAACATTTTGGACCTTTTGTGAGAGGCAATGCACATTGATAACATTTTGACATGTAAGAGCTTGATAGAGGATTGGAGAGATTGCATAATGGATATGATGAAAAGACCACACTTTGTATAACAACAGAAGCTACCTTATGAAGAGAAAGATTTTTACTGTTACATACAGTGCAAACACTTTGCTCTCATACATTGTAATCTACAGAGTAAATTATGATTTGGGTAGCCTTAATCATGCTAAAACAATGAGTGAAAACCAGAACTGTACCAAGCAAATGTACATGTGATAACCCAGTTTATATAAATGAAAATAGTGCTATAGAAGTCATAAGAAGAGTAAAGTTAAAGTTTCTGGGTTTAGGTTAATATGGTCGGGGGTAAAACAAGGAACTAAAATTTGGGAAGAGGAAGGCTACAAGTAACTTACAGTAGAAGCAAGAATCTAAAATGAATAAGTGATATACCTAGATTGTTAGGATGGTTAACATCATGGAATACTTTTTTAATAAAATTTTTTAATTAAGATATATGTGTACATACCTTACCAATCCCCACCCCACCCCCACTCCCAAACAAGCCCTCCCTCCCCATAGTTTTTCCTCCATTGGTTATGCTTATAACATCATGGAATACTTACAGACATTTTATTGAATCTAGTTTTCTTAGTTCCCATGAGCATTATTTTAGTGATATGAAAGCTAAGGACCAAAGACAGTCATTAAAGTATTGTATGTAGTATCTTTTCTTTGTCGCAGGCTATCCTGGAGAAGCACAAGCTGAATCGTGTCCTGCTTCCATTTCACTGAGAGAATAGTTTCATTAGGCTAACGGTAGGCCCCTTGGTTGCCAGATCTGAGACAGCCAGTAATTCTCACTTCAGTTTCCTCATCATCTATACCGTTAACAAACTGCCAGTTCTTGGTTACTTTTTTAGAGAATTGTCTTGTTCAGGGTTATTACAGCCACCAGTGCTGTAGTTCTGCTTCTTCCCGCCTCCAGGGCCTTGCTATTGCTAACTTTCTACCATTGATTCCTTGCCCTTAACCATTTCCCCCCACCATCCTTGAAGTGTACAGCTAACTTCCTTTGTCACAGAATGATTAGGGAGTGTATAGTTTAAACAAACCTTTTAAAGAGGAATTACTCCTAGTTCTCAAACTGATTAAATGCCTGTTCAAATATTTGGTAAACCATTTAACAATGATACTTTAACATCTGGCTTCATCTATAAAAATAGACCTACTACAAAACATGGGATTATTGAAAGTATTTGCTAAGAATCTGAAACTGGCACGGGTTTACTAAATGACCCTTATTTGAGGTGGGGGGTGGGGTGTCGGGGAGGGCGTGGGATGTAGTAAACCAGTTTAGTTCCTTAGCTATATTCTCACCATGTTTCTACCATTGACTTAAAAATTGATTTTTAAATATTTGAAAGCATGTGGATAAGAGGCTGTGTGTACACCTGGTTTTTAAGAAAATAAGCATTAACCCCCCCCAAAAAAAAAAAAAGTTGGGGACCCCTCTATACTCTCAGTTCTATTTCCCCCTCACAGGTAACTATTATCATAAATTAGTTGTTCAATTTCTGTACATAAGTTGATGCTCTTAGTACCTATTTTATGTACCAAAAAAAGGTAGCATTCTGCAAATTTGAAAACTTTAAATAAAATTGTGTTATATATTACACATCTTCCTGCACATTGCTTTTCACTTCAACTTTATTTCCAAGAATTATCAATGGAGATAGATGTATTTCTTTTCATTACCTATCCAATCCACTGTAGTCTGGCCCCTTTTTTATTTATTTATTTATTTTTATTGATTTTTGTACAGAGAAGAAGGGGGAGAGAGAGAGCTAGAAACATCGATGAGAGAGTCATCGATCAGCTGCCTCTTGCACACCCCCTACTGAGGATATGCCCGCAACCAAGGTACATGCTCTTGACAGGAATCGAACCCGGGTCCCTTTAGTCCCCAAGCCGACGCTCTATCCATTGAGCCAAACCGGTTTCGGCTGGCCCCTTTTTAAAAAAATATATATTTTATTGATTTTTACAGAGAGGAAGTAAGAGGGATAGAGAGTTAGAAACATCGATGAGAGAAATATCAACCAGCTGCCTCCTACCTGCACACCCCCTACTGGGGATGTGCCCACAACCAAGGTACATGCCCTTAACCACAATTTAACCTGGGACCTTTCAGTCCACAGGCCGATGCTCTATCCATTGAGCCAAAGCGGTTTCGGCTGTAGTCTGGCTTTTAACCTTTTCCTCTCCACCAAGTTAATGTTCTCATCAGGGTCACCTAGGGGAGGGACGCTGAATGCATGGCTGCATTGGTCTTACTCAAATTAGTTTCCTTAACATCACTCTTGGTTTCTCTCAAATCTGATTAATTTGAGATGCACAAAATTAGTTCCATTATCTACCCCATCAAAATTTTACCATATAAATTCCCTGCTAACATGAACACCACAGCTAACCATTTGGTCATACAAAAAGGAAACCTAGTCTTTGGAACTAATGATGTTGGGGAAATGATATCTGTGTGCAAAAGAATGAACAAGTGGATCAAATACCTGAAACCATTAAAAAAAAAAAAAATGGGAAAAGCTTCATGTCATTAACACCAAAAATTTGGTAAATTGGATTTCACCAAAATTTCTCTAAAGTCAACAGTAATAAGGCAACCCACAGATTGAAGAAAATACTTGCAATAAGGGATTGATATTCAGAAAATATAAAGAACAAAATATTTAAAAGTGGGTCAAGGACTTAGACATATTTACAAATGGCCAATAAGCATGTGGAAAGATTTCAACATCACTAATGAGGAAAGAAAAAATCCAAATTAATGAAATACCACGCATCCAGTAGAAAGATGGCCACCAAAAAATGAGTTGCCTAGCCAATGTGGTTCAATGGATTGAGCAGCATCCTGTGCACCGAGTTGTCAGGGTGCAGGAGGCAGCCAATCAGTGTTTCTAAAATGTCAAAACGCAATTCCATCTCTGGGTATGTTTTTTTTTAATAAACGTTTTACTGATTTCCTAGAGGAAGGGAAAGGGAGAGAGAAACATCAATGATGAGAGATCATTGATTGGCTGCCTCCTGCACACCCCACACAGGATTGACCCCACAACCCAGGCATGTGCCCTAACCCAGAATCGAACCATAACCTCCTAGTTCATAGGTTGATGCTCAACCACCGAACCACACCAGCCAAACCACTTATGGATATTTAATTGAAAGCCTCAGAGAGATGTATACACCCAATCAGCATTATTCACAATAGCCAAAAGTAGAAACAATCTAAGTGTTCCTCACAGAGGAAGGAATAAACATGTATTTATCCTATATAGGATTTAATATTAAATTTAATATTCATATTAAATATCCTATATAATACCGTTTTCCCCGAAAATAAAACCTACTTACAGGTTTCCTTCTGAGTGAAATATAAGACATCTCCCTGAAAATAAGGCCCCCCTAGGCTAAGCATGAGAGATTTGGTCCACTGATTCTGAAAGAAATGGAGTCACAAGAAATTCACCAGGAAATTCAGGAATTGGATTGTTATGATGATGTTCCAGAAGATGATGATGTGATTGTCATTGAATAAATGAGTAAATTCTTGATACTGTAGGATTCACAGTTTGTCTGCTTTGTGTTGACAACTACCGTACTACCATACCGTATATAGGTAATAAATTTCCTTTATTTTCATTTAACAATAAATGTGTACTGTATTCTTCTTCATGTAAAAATAAGACATCCCCTGAAAATAAGAACTAGCGCATCTTTGGGAGCAAAAATTAATATAAGACAGTGTCTTATTTTCGGGGAAACAGTAAAGGCTAATAATGCAAATAGACCAAATGGCAGAACAATGAAACAACTGGTCGCTATGATATGCACTGACCAGAGGGTGCACACGGAACACGGCAGGCATCACTGCAGCTGGATGGTGGAGTAGGTGAACAGGGCACCAGATCAAGGCAGAGCACAGGTCAATGTCATCGGGCAAGCCTCTTTGATGGTTACTGAAAATTCTTTGCCTCCCGCTCACAGTGGCTGCTGGCCCTAATCCCGGGCGGGGATGTGCAGGAGGCAACCAATTGATGTTTCCCTCTCATCACTGTTTATCCCTCTCTCCCTGTCTCTAAAATCAATATGTCAAGGTTGCGAATTACAGTTCGATCTGGTTAGGGCATATACAAAAAACAACCAATAAATGCATAAATAAGTGGAACAAATCGATGTTCTCTCAAATCTATAAATACATTAGCATTTATGTATGTATTCTTAAGACTTTTAAAAGTTCTTTGTAGTTGCTGTTAATCCTCACATGAGCATACCCTGTTTCCCCGAAAATAAGACAGTGTCTTATATTAATTTTTGCTCCCAAAGATGCGCTAGATCTTATTTTCAGGGGATGTCTTATTTTTCCACATGCTAGGTCTTATTTTCAGAGGATGTCTTATTTTCGGGAAAACACGGTAGTTTTCCTAACTCTAACCATTAAGCCGCATCAGCCAGGACTTAAGATTTTTTATTGATATTTT